AATAGTGGTATAGTAGGAATATACGAGGACCTTAATATAATCCCTATTATCCATTATAGTCACTATTACTGGGCGGGGGGTCCACCTAAAGAATGACCTACATTGGGCATCCTTGAGCCGGAAGCCTTGCTCACCAAGCCAGAGATGCATGGCAAGAAGAGATGGCGGGGAATTTGGAACTGCGCCTGTCGACAAGAGCTGACCATGCGTCTATTCCATGACGCTCAGAATTACGCTGAAATAGCCGCATATCAGAGCGATCTCACGCATTCGGATGTCTGCCCAACATTCAGGGGTTGTCCTGGAATGGGCCACCACGATGCCGGGAAAGCCCAGACGTGTAGTGCAATGCACCGCTTGCGAGAGAAGGCCGACCTCAGCAAAGGGTTTAGCAAAAACAGGGTTTAGGGTTCAGGGCGTAGTGTTTAGAGTCATCAGCACACCTAGAGTCCCACAATTTCCAAGGTTTCAGCGACTTAAGTTCATGCGGGATGTTTAGTAGCCACCGTTGTCTCTACGGCATCATGACATGCAGCCTAAGAGTAAGGCTGCCCTTGGCAAGCTTGCGCTATTTTGGATCTCTGGGGTCTAGTCTAACATGTCCTTCTTTGTTTCCCCCTTAAACCCTCCCCCGGTCCTGTGTCCAGGTAAACGTGAGTAAACGTATGATTAAACCAAAAATCCTAAACCTCAAACGCCCTAAATCACAAACTCTACGCCCGAACCCTAAACCCTGAACCCTAAACCACATGAGCTACTGTCTAAACTCCTAGTATCCCTCCTAAATAACCCCTATAATACTCCCCTATATAATCCCCTATATAACCCCCTTGAAGGAGTTTAGACGATAGCTCACACCCTAAACCCTAAACCCCAAACCCTAAACCCTAAACCCCTAAACCCTAAACCCTAAACCCCTAAACCACATTAAGGTCTAAGAAGCTCGTTCCGGCGCTGCGGGCCGCACGGGTTACCGTGAAAGACCTCTCGAGGGAGGCAAGGCTCTGGCCGTGCTTTTTAGGGGTTTCATGGAGGGTATATAAGGATCCAAACGGGTATATATATAGATATATATATATATTAGGGTTTAGGGTTTAGGGTTTTGGGGGGTTTCATGGAGGGTATAAAGGATCCATAGGGGTATATATATATATATATGGATGTTTCCGATTGTGATGCGCTCCTTACCTAAGATTACTAGGGATGTGGGGATTAGGCGA